CCTTTTTCAGCAAAATATCATGTTTCCGTGCCTTTTGGTTAGTCAGAAGAAGTTATTTAAAGGTTTAAACAAATTTGACCAGTGATCTTGAATTAGGGTCATCATTTCTTTTTGAAAACTTTGTTAGACTTCATCCTAGGAACATATTACCCAAATATCATGCTTTAGCACATTTTGGTTAGACAAAAGAAGTTGTTTACAGGTTTTAACAATTTTGTCCCCTTGCAAATTCACAAACTATGTTGGCATCATCCTAGGAGCCTTTCACCAAAATACCATGCTTCTGTGCCTTTTGGTGAGTCAGAAGATGTTGTTTGATGTTTAAACAAATTTGTCAACTGTGACCTTGAAAAAGGGTCAAGGTCATTTCTTATTGCAAACTTTGTCAGGCTTTTTCCAGCAACCTATCAGCAAAATATCAGGATATTTGGTCTGCTGATTATTGAGTTGTTTAAAAGGAAATGTTGACAAATAACAGACAAAAGACAGATGATGGACAGATGATAGACAGACAACAGACGCAGTGCCATGACATAAGCTCACTTCGCCCATCGAGCCAGGTGAGCTTAAGAAATTGGAATAACAAAGCAAAAACTTTTTGTAAGTGAAATCAAAAAGTTATTCTCAACCTATGCATTAATATTTCTACCACCAATGTCACAAGAATAATAAATTTACTATACATTGCATTTTAATACAATAACATGGTATCACACTGGGGTTACTTTGTTATAAAGCAGACATGCATACATCTAAGCTAAAAAAAATGGTAAGAATATCAATCACAACAGCATCAGAAAAAATAAACATTCAATGGTACCCTAAAACAAATTCCTATAGGCTATACCTGGTATCTTTAAGCTACTTCCATCTCCATAACACAAAAACAGGATATTCAACCAATATTTAAAATACAACTATTTGATGCTTGAAGCATAAATATTGGAAGATTTCTCTGGTTGTGAAGACAGTTGGTCTAGCCAACCGAAACATGTCAACGAATAAATCTAAGCTATGGAATCCCTGGTGTTGATGCTCCATCCTATATCTTCTTGTTATTACCTATCGTCTACGGAGTTCTACTAGAATACTCCAGTATTCACCTAGGATTCCTCTATCGATACATCTACCAACCAGTACCATCCACAGGACGTTGGATTCATCTACTGATACATCTACCAACCAGTACCATCCACAGGACGTTGGATTCATCTACTGATACATCTACCAACCAGTACCACCCACAGGACATTGAATTCATCTAGTGATAAGTCTACCAACCAGTACCACCCACAGGACGTTGGATTCATCTACTGATACATCTACCAACCAGTACCACCCACAGGACGTTGAATTCATCTACCAATAAGTCTACCAACCAGTACCACCCACAGGACGTTGAATTCATCTACCGTTAAGTCTAGTGACCAGGATGTTGGATTCATCTACTGATAAGTCTACCAACCAGTACCACCCACAGGATGTTGAATACATCTACCGAAAAGTCTACCAACCAGTACCACCCAAAGGATGTTGGATTCATCTACCGATACATCTACCAACCAGTACCACCCACAGGATGTTGGATTCATCTACTGATAAATCTACCAACCAGTACCACCCACAGGATGTTGGATTCATCTACTGATAAATCTACCAACCAGTACCACCCACAGGATGTTGGATACATCTACTGATAAGTCTACCAACCAGTACCACCCACAGGATGTTGGATACATCTACTGATAAGTCTACCAACCAGTACCACCCACAGGATGTTGGATTCATCTACTGATAAGTCTACCAACCAGTACCACCCACAGGATGTTGGATTCATCTACTGATAAGTCTACCAACCAGTACCACCCACAGGATGTTGGATTCATCGACTGATAAGTCTACCAACCAGTACCACCCAAAGGACGTTGGATTCATCTACTGATAAGTCTACCAACCAGTACCACCCAAAGGACGTTGAATTCATCTACTGATAAGTCTACCAACCAGTACCACCCACAGGATGTTGGATTCATCTACTGATAAGTCTACCAACCAGTACCACCCACAGGACATTGGACTCCTCCACCTATTTGTACTTTTATTTCTATTTTGTTCAATGTGGTTGAAGTAAATCATTTTATAGAAATAAAGCAAAAGTTGCTTGACTTTTGTTAAGAGTAGCTGGAGGTAAAGTATTAAAGGCCTAGGAAATATAGTAAAAAAAGTATGAGGGCAAAAGAAAATGATTTATATTCTATAGTTGGGTATGACAACAAATTTAAATAACTTTTTTAATACACCTAATTTGTTGTCCTTTATAGTCCTGATACTCACTTTCATCAAAATTCAATTATTTGAATAATACTATATAAAATTCCACATTGCAGGCTGGAGTGATTGATGACATAATATCATTATCCTTTATTACATAATATAGGATGAGTTTTTTTGTGTATTTTTGTGTGTTCTTAAACTGAGTGGAAAACGGGTCTTAGTGATGAAGTTGTTAAGGCATTTTTATACAGGTGAAGTGACTTTGGTGAAATTTGTTATAAATGGTTGACAGTACTTTTAAGTGTTAAAATAGTTACAATAACATTGGAAAAATATATAAAGGCTTCAAACATGTACATGTTTCATTAAAAAGACATTATTGAAAAAACAGTAGCAATTTTTATGAATAAAAAGTAAAACTCAAATTTTTATATTTTAAAAAGAAAAGTAATGTTCAGTAAATAATAATGTATATAGAAAATAGATGCAAGATGTAAAAAGGTAGTAAATATGTTTTCAGTCCATGATGTGAAAATTAACTTGCGGACTACTGGTATGTAATTGTATCACTTCATACCTCACCAAAATTAAAGAGTGCATTTTAAATTCAGGAAATTTAATTCTTTCAATGAAACACCAAAGCTTTGAATTATATCATTTCCATTTATTCCCACAATTATATAAAACCATAATATATACCACAATCAACCCAGCAATTTAAACCATAATCTCCAATTAATCTAATGGAAAACCTGTCAAGAGGATGAATATTCACAGATCAGTATAGCTTAGAAGATTCAATGGTATTTGAACAACATAAAAAGAGCGGAGTTCAATTTTAAAACTGCAATGGTCATAATAAAGTACATTTCTACAGAATTTTTCTAAAAATAGCCAAAATTCCTTTAAACATAGTTTTTCAATTTTTCATCCCAAGTCAATTGCATTTATTTGGTCATGAAACATCTATAAAATGCAGAAATGAAATTTATTTACACATGGAAATTACCAGAAACAGATGTAGAACTTCCTAACCTATATGGCTTTTGTTTCAATAGTACGTGAAGATATTAAGTAGCTATAATTTAAGTAAACATTGTTTAGTAAAAAAATATTTTCCTTGTCATGAATTATGAAATTTTTAACAGATTGCAAATTTCAATCTCTGTTAGTTTTAGAACCAAAATCCAGACTCCAATTGGTGTTTCATGGCCCAGTTTGTGCATTATACACAAATTTGTGTTTTTCCTTGACTTGACAATGTTGCAATGGTTATTTGGATATGTCAAAAATATTATTTCCAATTGCCTCACATTGTAAACAAATTTCTTAAAGAAATTGTCACTGTCACTCAAATACTGGGCCATTAAGCAAACATAGGTGTGTCCAACCTGGCAAAGCTACAGTACTATATACTTGGCACATTAGCTTCCGATCCCTTAAGAATAATTTTTCACTAGTTTTGCTATGTTGATGAACTGCAACCAAACAATTACATGAATGAATTGAAATGTGTTCATACTTTAAGATTTATTAAAAAATTGACAAGTGAAAGACCAGGATTTTTCTAAAAAAATATCCACACATACCATCTCAAATTCGCTCACCTGAAATAATTGAAATGTGTATCTGACATATGACTGCGCTTCCATTTGGGATGACATCACTAAATCACAGAGATGTTTTGGGTTAGCTTGGTGCAACCCAGAAGTACACATGCATTAAAAAAAATTGTCATTTAAATGGTAATGACTTTCGGATGAAATTAAGAATAAAAATACTTTTTATGGTGCAAAAGTGGTGGATATCTGTGTTTAGGTGTGTACCATTTCTAAAGGGCTAGTTTCAAGTTTTTATTGTTTGATCCTTTTTTCTCAAATGTGCCATATTTTTTGGTAAAATTTTTTATAACACAATCTATTCAATTAAAGTTGATTTTTCATCTTTCTGTCTACAACTCGCTATTTGAATAAAATTGGGAATGAGTTGTCAAAAGTGATGAATTATAAATCATCATTTTTTTCAAAATGAGATGTAGAAGTTTGGACTTTCGTAGCCAAAAAATTGTGAAAAGGAGTGGCCTATTGTTCATGGTCGATTTTTATTCACATGACAGACAACAAGCATTTGAAAATGAATTGATAGGTTATTTCAATATATCTAGGTGGATGTTTGACACGTAAAAATGTGTATTCAGGAAAAATACACAAATGCCAATGGAATATATATTCATAATATTTTACGGTAAATGGTTTAAATCACATTTTTTTTTATTCTTTCTGAAAGCGTTACATGTTACAACAACAAAAATATCCGAATACAAGGTAACGAAAGTCAATAGATTACGTGATACGACTCGACAAAATGGTCGTTCCGAAATACATAACGATCCGGAACCGATGTCCACACGATACGTTGTAACTTCTCTCTGACAATATCGGTTTCGTAAGTCTAGATGTAGAGCGTTTTAACAGAAAGCGAGGACTAGTTCAGCAAAAGCAGGACACATTTTAGCATCTTCATGTTTAAAGTTTTAGGTTCAAGACAAAATGGAATATACGTAGAAAAGTCACCGAAGAAGGAACTTCTATACCGGTGATATGGCATTGCCACATTTACAACTCACCGGTGACTAGATAATCGGTCGCGAACATGAAAATGCATCGCCACATGTTTGCACACGTATATTCGATAATCAGGAAATATGTGTTTGTTAAAAACAATACCTCTTTTTTCTTTAGGGCCGACTCACAAACGCAAATGAAGGCAAATATGGAAACGGCAAACAGCAGATGCTTCATGTTGGCAGCCATTATTTCAGACGTGTATATAACAATCCCTTTGATTGGTTAATTCTGCGGAGGACCAATGAGCGATTCGTTAACAAAAAGTCTACATCGAAGGTGTTTCGTTCGGCACTGCTTCAGGATCTTCTTTAGAATCGAACCTAATACTGGATAACAAATTCAGTTCCGAAGGAAATAAAAAAAGTGAAATGAAACTCAAGTTGGGAAAGTTTTAGGCTGGTGATGTTGCAGGTATCATAACTTCGAACAGTTGGCCAATTGCATAATCAACTAAGACGAACCAGGTAATATGTATACAAAATTATTAAAAAACGTGTTCTGTGAAACGCATCGAGGGATCAACCATCAAATACTGCATTGCCAGCATTGAAAAGTTTGTTTAGTTGATTATCATTTTTCAAACTAATTTCGGTCGATCGTTCTGTCTTTGATACCCGTGATCTTTCATTTTGACATTTAAGAATCGCCAAAAGTTGTCGTTTTGTTTGACGTCAATTAGGCCTGTATAGCCCACTCCACATATTCATCGAAGTCACAGTTACCATATTTAGTCTTATGAACACCCTTCTGCTTCATTAAAAGGCTAGGCGTTAATGACTTCATTCGACCGTTTACAGGAAAAAATGTGAAAAGGTAGGGCCTGACAAGAACGTAGCCATTATTTACTTACCAATTGTATCATTTGGAATATGAGAATTTCACAGCATACACTTACTACAATGATCTTATTGAATTGTTTGTGAATGTTGTCTAAATAGGAAATGAAGTTTGACAAGCTTTCTTTTTCAGTGAAATTTGTGATACTTAATTTGGTGTATGAATATGCCTAGTTAACTTGACCAATATGTGCTCACTCCATAAGGTGGCGAAGAGTTAAAACTAGAGTATCAATGGTGCTCTTTCAGCTGCATTGCTAATGTGGTTTATATTCTCTTATATTTAGGGTGTGTATTCTCTATTTAGCGTTACCAAATATCAAGTCTGACAACCCTTCCAGCCAAAATGGAATAAGCTATTTCGCTATTCCATCAATTATCAGACTGTTCCATCAAACTATAAAAGGTCCATTGCATGACTTTTTTTTAAATGGGGAAAAAAGAACTGTCAAAATGTAAATATAAGAAATATTTTTCAATTTTGTTGTTTACTGTTGTGTTTTATTCTCCTGCTTTTGTTTTAACAGATATGTCATCATATAATGCATGTCATTTAAAATATTTTTTGTAAAAATGCAGTTCACACACCAGTAAACAACCCCAAAAAAAAGTTATTTCTTAAATTAATTAGTAATAGACTTCCACAAGTTCTGGAAGCATCCATATGAAATGTTAATTTATCTAAAGTTCTTATGTTGTAGGAAAGCCATGGGGCGTGGTAAATTAGGAAATGGAGATGTTGTGTCAGAACCAGAATACCACCAACCAGTTGGGATCTATGGATGGAGAAAGCGATGTCTTTATAGCTTTATCCTCTTTCTGATGATCATAACAGTGATAAACCTGGCACTCCTTATTTGGATCTTAAGAGTGCTGAACTTCTCAGTGGTATGAACAGTTTTTTTTTTTTTTTTTAAGATACACCCTACCCAGTAAATAATTTTAACACACCTTGTGAACTGTTTTACTTTCTGCATGCAGTCATGTTATTAAAGTACTAGTGTATTTTCCTTCCATAAATTGAAGTGTTTATTCGGAAAAAGTTCTCTGCTTGTTATTAGCCCACCATCATCATGGTGGGGTTATCAAATAGTGCTATGTCCATGGTCTGTCGTCTGTCTGTTATTTTTTTATTGCTATTTCTTTAGAAATACTGGATAGATCTTTCTAAAATTTCATATGTAGGTTCCCCTTGTTTAAAATTTGTGCCCGTTTGCCTGATCAGAAAAACAAAATGGCAGACTGGCACCATCTTTTATTTTGATAACGAAAGTTTGTTGTCGTAATACCTTGAGAAGTACTGGATATGATTTCTCAAATGTCATGTAGGTTCCTCTTTTTCCATTGTTGTGCCTATTTGATTTTGGGACTGATAAAGAAAAATGGCAGAGAGACAGACATTTTGGATTTCAACAATGAAAGTTTGTTATCACTGTTTTGTGAGTAGTCCGGAATGGATCTCTTTCTAGTTTCATGTGTAAGTTCCCCTTGTCCCAAGTTGTACACATTTGATTTTGGGACTGATCAGAAAAAATCAAATGGCAGACAGGCAACAATCTTTGGATTTGGCTGTTAAAGATTATAATTGCTATTTCCTCAGAAAGATTTTGTGTAAGTAAGAGCCAAAAAAAAGAGGAAAGAACAAAAAAGAAGGGAAAAGATCCAACTTTAAAAGAACAAATAAAGATCAAACAATGGGTGGGCTCCAAGATCCCCTTGGAATTTCTTGTTTTATTTGATATGTAGTTAACCGGTACATCTTTCTACAGTTAGAGATCCCAGGTCTGGTAATCTGGTACAGTTCACTTAGTTACAGGTCTACAGAACCATATATATTATGTTTTTTATGACATTTAAGAACGTAAACTTCGTCTGAGGTCAAATTCAGTCAACTAACAAAAACAGAAGATTCAGATTAAACATCACCATCAGTTTTTTATAACTTTTAACAGCATACTCAGTTTGGGTTACTTCATGAATTTAAGTTGGTTAAGGTTTGAATTAAACAAGAAATCAACTGAAAAATGGTCATTGTCTTCAGGTTAAATTTTAATGTGGCTTCTATCTTTAATTTCTCCCAAAATGCAAGCTGTTTGCTGATACTGGGATATAACTCAGGCTTAAGGTGTTAAGGTGAGCCTTTGTAATTGTTTGATATTACCACATGTTTTCTTGTTTTAAATATGTCTAGATGCATCACTAAGTTGAAGTTAGTTGTACAGATATTATACATTATTTCAGGATGGAATGGGAAAGATGAGAATAACGGAAGATGGTATCTTGATGGAAGGTGAAGCTGAGTTTGTGAAGTCCCTATATACCTCAAACATACAGGCACAACTTAAGGTAACGTGAATCAGTTTTGTGTTGATATTATGTCTGATAAAAGACCTAAGTGAGACTGAGTTTGTGAAGTCCCTGTATACTTCAAACATACAGGTACGACTAAAGATAATGTGAATCAGTTTTGTGGTTATATTTTCTTTTTTAGAATATATTTATGAAAGTTGAGAAATTGTTGTTAGTTGTGATGTAAACAGTGACCCTCTTTATCTGGTTGTAAAACCACCTATACAGATTGCTGTTCAGTGAAATCATGAACTGATACTATAATAAGCCCACCACCTGACTGTAATAAGCCCACCACCTGACTTGAATGAGAAGTAATTTGTTGGTCTCCTTGGTTTATTGTGGGTTAAATATGGTATTCCTAAAAATCAAATATTACGATATTTTCTCTGATATTTCATTAGGTGTTTAATTTGTAATAATTCATTTGCAGGACAAACCACTCTTTGTTGAATCCAGTCGAGACATTGTCATGCATGCAAGAGATGGTGATGGTAATGTTGCTAGCACCATGGCATTAGGTAAGAAGAATTGTTCTTGTGTACTAGGTGAGTTACTTCCCTTGTATGTATGAAGGAGGGACTTTTATGTTCTTGTCTCCATTTAAACCTTATCAGTACCAGTCTAAAAAGAATGGTGACATCTTTGATAGGTCTTTCCCAATTTTCCCCCTTACCTAAACATGGTACACAGGATTATGACGAGTGCTATCATTACCAAAGACTTCCTTGAGATTAAAAGTATACTTTGATGTTATAACCAGTTTCAAGGTGTGTATAACCTTGTGTGTAAAGGCATTAAATCTAGACTAGAGTATCTATGCCACCTCAGATGAAGAATGGAGGTGGATGGCTCCATGCTCTCTACTAGTGACAGTTTGTGTTTCTCAAAAAGCTAAAATTGACCAGTATATGTTAATACAGTTGTGTCCTTGGGCAAGACACTTTACCTTAGTTAATGTGGATGGCGTGCAGCTGGGCTCCCATATGTTGCTTAATTACGGGGCTACCATTTGCTTTGAGGAGACCCCAACTTTAATGATCCTAGCTGTTCAGTGGGTGATAAACCAACAAACAAAAGTTTCTATGGATCCATAAAACTCCAGCTTCGGACATCACTGCTGAGTTGATGTTTTGGGATCACTTTACAAATGGTACTTACTATAAACAGAAAACCATTGTTCTATACAAGTTATTAGGCGGAGTTGTTATGAATGTATTATAACACAAGGCTTCTTTATTAAAAGTGATTGCATCAAATCAAATGACATTTTAAATATGAAATAAATTTCTGCATTTTTTCTGAAGGTTCTCATCGGCCCACTCCTTTCAGCTATATATAAGTGAAACCTTGATTAAGTTTGCTATTACCTGTGTATGTCATTAAAATTATATATTACATTAGTAAGTTCTGGAAATGAATATTCTAAATTTGCCTATCTGACCATTTTTCTAATCTTTTGTCCATACATAAGGTTTTGGGAGAATTTTTTTTCAAAAGACACACAATACAATACAACCAAACCATGACTGTTTCATTCTCCAAGGACTTGTCAGTGATGCTATGGACCTTAATTTTGAAACTAAAGTTGACTTTTAGATAATAAAAGAATATCTGTATCATCTGACCCTACACATATTTTACATTTATAAATTGTTTGTAGTCATAATGGCTAAAGCTTTACTGTGTTGCTTGCAATAACATCAAATTAAGTTTCTTAAACTTTAATTGGTTTTGCAGGCAACAGAACTTTGGAGGCCCAGTGTGACAGTTTTGAGGTGAAAGACAAGAACGGAAACATACGGTTCAGGGTGAACAATAGAGAAGTTAGCATGGAGGTAGATGAAGTTAAATATACAGGTAAACTTACAGGTTTTACCATGTTTTTAGATTGTATTTAGTTAAAGGGAAAGTGAGTTTATGCAATTGCATGGCTTCCAGTGTCCCTCCAACATCAACATTTCATTTTAACCAACTTCTTGCCAATAGCAAACATATCCAGGGTAATGCTATTGAACCAGTAGCATTCTGGGATAAAGTTAATCCAAATAAGTTAGTTAAGGGTCAAATGCCCTAAATATCTAAACAATTTGTTATCAACAACCAAGAGGCCTAGGGTACTGCTATTAGGCTTGTAGCATGATGGAGGCAACAACTTCTAAACAAAGCAAAGTGACATAGAAATTTGATAATACCTTCATTTGAAGGTGTGCAATATTGTTTGAAAAAAAAAACAACACAACTTTGACCTCCTGTCAAAACTCAGGTCCCTGATTTAGGTCACAATTGTAAATTGTGTTTGTATACATCATTGAGTCAAAGATAATTAGTGATGTTGGCCCTTTGGACCTCTTGTTTATTAATACATTTTGGTTTTGTCAGTTGTTTTTAGAAAAGGATTTTAAGTCAGCAATAAATTGTGTATCAAAGTCGCTTGCTGTTTTGAAAGAAAAAAGTTGAACTCTTAGCTAATATTTGTGAATTATCACCACAATGTTTTGTGATGTGATGGAATTAGTGATTTTTTTATTCTTGAAGCGTACACCTTGTAATTCCATCAGAATAAATATAAACCTATGTACAAGGATTGTTATCTTCCCCTTGTCATATTTCAGGATCTTCAAAGCTGGTGTTTGAAGGATCAGTTGCCACACCCACTTTGAGAAGTCCTCCCTCTGATCCACTCAAGTAAGATCATTTGAATTTTTGTTAATTTTGAATTTGTGTATACAGTGTGATAATCTTACATGCATATAACAGGACTAAATCCTTCATAAATTCTAAATATTGTATCAATATGGTATCTATATTACAGGACTGAGTCCTTCATAAATTCTAAATATTGTATCAATATGGAATCTATATTACAGGACTGAGTCCTTCATAAATTCTAAATATTGTATCAATATGGTATCTATATTACAGGACTGAGTCCTTCATAAATTCTAAATATTGTATCAATATGGTATCTATATAACAGGACTGAGTCCTTCATAAATTCTAAATATTGTATCAATATGGTATCTATATTACAGGACTGAGTCCTTCATAAATTCTAAATATTGTATCAATATGGTATCTATATTACAGGACTGAGTCCTTCATAAATTCTAAATATTGTATCAATATGGTACCTATATTACAGGACTGAGTCCCTGGTAACTTCTATACATTGTTTTAATTTTGTATCTATATTACAGAAATGAGCCCCGGTAACCTCTATGCATTTTATCAATCATGTATGTATATTACAGTATTGAATCCTTGGGAACATTTATACGAGTACATGGAGAGACTGGTGTGAATCTGAAGGCACCTGCTGGCAGTATGCTGATTAAAAGTTCAGATGACATCCTGTTAGAGTCGACTGATAATTCTGTAAGTGTTTTTGTCAGATTTCATGTTTACATAATGTACATCTTATTCAATGTTTCATAATTTGGTATCACTAGATGCAAGTGATTGTTAAACAGTGGTTTGTAATTCAACATGTCTTTAAAAGATCAAATAGGTCAGTTTATTGTACACACATTGATATCATTAGAGGGTCCTCATGATCAGTTCACAAATAAGTTGGAAAATAGTGCATACACTGTGTATGAAATGACCTGTGGTCCATACTTGGTGTCTGTAAAATTTCATACTGTACATACTATAATTCATACTCAGTGCTTGCAAAAGGTTCATTCTTTACACTCAGTGATTGAAAAAAGTTCATTCTGTACACTCAGTGATTGTAAAAGGTCATACTTTACACACAGTGTCTGGAAAATGTCATTCTGTACACTCAGTGTCTGGAAAATGTCATTCTGTACACTCAGTGTCTGGAAAATGTCATTCTGTACACTCAGTGTCTGTATGAGGTCATGCTGTAAAATGTTATACTTGTACACTCAGTTTCTGTCAAGTCATACTGTATACCCAGTATCTGTACAAGTCATACTATAATTTACACTCAGTATCTGCATAAGATTCATTCTGTACACTCAGTGTTTGTAAAAGATTCATTCTGTACACTCAGTGATTGTAAAAGGTTCATTCTGTACACTCAATGTGTGTATAAGGTCTTTCTGTACACTTAGTGGCAGTGAATGGTCATTCTGGTCACTCAGTGTGTGTATAAGGTCTTTCTGTACACTTAGTGGCAGTGAATGGTCATTCTGGTCACTCAGTGTGTGTATAAGGTCTTTCTGTACACTTAGTGGCAGTGAATGGTCATTCTAGTCACTCAGTGTGTGTATAAGGTCTTTCTGTACACTTAGTGGCAGTGAATGGTCATTCTAGTCACTCAGTGTGTGTATAAGGTCTTTCTGTACACTTAGTGGCAGTGAATGGTCATTCTAGTCACTCAGTGTATGTATAAGGTCTTTCTGTATACTTAGTGGCAGTGAATGGTCATTCTGGTCACTCAGTGTGTGTATAAGGTCTTTCTGTACACTTAGTGGCAGTGAATGGTCATTCTGGTCACTCAGTGTGTGTATAAGGTCTTTCTGTATAGTAAGTGGCAGTGAATGGTCATTCTGGTCACTCAGTGTGTGTATAAGGTCTTTCTGTACACTTATTGGCTTTGAATGGTCATTCTGGTGACTCAATGTGTGTATAAGGTCTTTCTGTACACTTAGTGGCAGTGAATGGTCATTCTAGTCACGCAGTGTATGTATAAGGTCTTTCTGTATACTTAGTGGCAGTGAATGGTCATTCTGGTCACTCAGTGTGTGTATAAGGTCTTTCTGTACACTTAATGGCAGTGAATGGTCATTCTGGTCACTCAGTGTGTGTATAAGGTCTTTCTGTATACTTAGTGGCAGTGAATGGTCATTCTGGTCACTCAGTGTGTGTATAAGGTCTTTCTGTACACTTAGTGGCAGTGAATGGTCATTCTGGTCACTCAGTGTGTGTATAAGGTCTTTCTGTACACTTAGTGGCAGTGAATGGTCATTCTGGTCACTCAGTGTGTGTATAAGGTCTTTCTGTACACTTAGTGGCAGTGAATGGTCATTCTGGTCACTCAGTGTGTGTATAAGGTCTTTCTGTACACTTAGTGGCAGTGAATGGTCATTCTGGTCACTCAGTGTGTGTATAAGGTCTTTCTGTACACTTAGTGGCAGTGAATGGTCATTCTGGTCACTCAGTGTGTGTATAAGGTCTTTCTGTACACTTAGTGGCAGTGAATGGTCATTCAGGTCACTCAGTGTGTGTATAAGGTCTTTCTGTACACTTAGTGGCAGTGAATGGTCATTCTGGTCACTCAGTGTGTGTATAAGGTCTTTCTGTATACTTAGTGGCAGTGAATGGTCATTCTAGTCACTCAGTGTGTGTATAAGGTCTTTCTGTACACTTAGTGGCAGTGAATGGTCATTCTGGTCACTCAGTGTGTGTATAAGGTCTTTCTGTATACTTAGTGGCAGTGAATGGTCATTCTGGTCACTCAGTGTGTGTATAAGGTCTTTCTGTACACTTAGTGGCAGTGAATGGTCATTCTGGTCACTCAGTGTGTGTATAAGGTCTTTCTGTATACTTAGTGGCAGTGAATGGTCATTCTGGTCACTCAGTGTGTGTATAAGGTCATATTGTACAATCAGAGTCTGTAAAAGATCATTCAGAACATTTATTTCTTGTCAAATGTCATTCTGTACACTTAGTGTCTGTATATGGTCCTTCTGTACACTCAGTGTCAATATAAGGTCTTGCTGTACACTCAGTGACTGTAAAAGGTCATTGTGGACACTCAGTGTCTGTATAAGGTCTTGCTGTACACTCAGTGACTGTAAAATGTCATTGTGGACACTCAGTGTCTGTATAAGGGCATTCTGTAAAAGGTCATATGGAACACTCATTGTCTGCTTGAATATTCTTACACACACACAAAGGTAGGTAATTAATTATTGATTCCTGTTAACTGGTAGGTAGGAGAGAGTAATTTATATTTCATTGGTTGTTAAGAAGGATTTCGGAGTTAATGTTAAGTGCACTATTATCTTTCCTTCAAAAAATTGTCAACATTAGAAAATATTAAACAATTCAAACCAGGTCATGAGGTCAGCTATAAGCACTTCCTAACTGATTTTATTGGAAAACTGGACTTGATATATAAGAGCACTGCAACTTTCTCTTGTTTCTCACTTTTGGCATTAGGTGAAAATTAAAACGTTGATCTAAGTTTAATGTTAAAGTTAAAATATGTGTTTTATGCTGTCCATGGAGAATAATTAATACTAGTAAAACTTAAGCAGTCTTGTGGGTGAACTTAAAAAAGAACCTGTGCAGATTTTTAAATGTAGCTTTTACAAGTGAAATGAAGAATTTGTTCGTAATTTCAGATCTATGTGCAGTCCCGTGATTTGTACCTGAAGAGTACCAAAGTAAGTGTACCAGCAGTGGGTCGACCCTATACAGGTAGTGTGTACCAGCTATGTATGTGTATGAGTGGACGTCTGTATCTGTCCGACCCTAGTGATGACTGCCAGGCTACAGACAATATCTGTCAGTAGTGACCACTCCATCAGCAAGAAGTAATTTTAACCACGTACAGTGACCATGCATTTTTTTTCAGTCGTCTTTTCCAAAGTTAAAGTGGTGAAAGAACAGTATTTTATAGAATCTTTACATTTTAACATTTATTTTGGTCAGTTGCTTTTTCTGTGTTTGACAACTACAATATCCATGTCCAAGTACTTGCCTGAAGTAGAGATTGTCAGTGATTGGTTTAGAATGGGGTCGAGAATATCTTGTTAATTAACTGTAGAATAAAAGTACAATACTTCACTGGTCACTTAATTGTAAGTATTGATAACGAACAGAATCTAGGTTTGTAATGTTATTTGATAAAGCAAAAGCCTATCATTGTATTTATCTTAAAAATGATTCAATAAAATACATGTACACATAAAGTCAAAATAGGTGAACATTGTATTAGTTAAGCAGGAATGTAAATAAGCATTTGAAAAAAAAATTCTTTTGAATATAAATGAGTCAGGTTTGTCATTGCAGCGTGCACCATTTTTCAAAACTGTTTTATTACCAAAGAAATAATCAAGTTTTTAGAGCATGCCAGGAACAACATTACACTCATTAGGATTATTGTTATCAAGAAGATACGACCAAATCAGTAAAGCCAGTACAGAGGAACAGAAATCCTGACAGAAAATGGATTACGTTGACCAGTAAAGTAGTTTAAAATTGGGTTTTGGAAATGATTAGTATGTTTTATTTATTTAATGATTGCCATTTTTAATATTAAAGTTATATGAATGATAATTTCCATACTCTCTACAATAGATAGGCAAGAATCATTCCAGTAGGGTTACTTCTGTAGTTAATGAATAAACCTTATGTATGAGTAATACCCATAAATTAGAAAAAAGGACCTAAAACACTTGGATGTTAATTTGAAAACATACACCAATATGTTGTGACATTGCCTTATATGGCATCAAGATATAATTGCATATGAAAATGTTTTACTAGCATCTAAACTTTGTACTTCTGAGAAAATGGATTGGTGAAAAATAGTTTTAAAAATCTGTTTGACATTTTTTTAAATGATCCCTTGAAAGAGTGTTCTACAAACTACAAATAACTTTAATGTTAAAAATCCACTTGAAAAAGTGTCACTTTAATTACTAGGAATTAATATTGCACCTATGATTAAATATATAGAAATGAAAGTATCCATAGCATATTTCCCTGACATTAAATATCTGCATTTTAGGAAAGTTGACAAATGTAACTTAAAGGATTACCTTATTGATATTACATGTTTATATTATACCTAGAGTGTTTTATAGATATATGGGTTATTACCAGGGAACTAGACAAGGAAATAGAATTACTTATATTGATGTATTTTAATCTGGAAAAGAATTACTGTTAGACATAAAGAACATCATATATACATGTACTCACCTTGTGAAAAAAGGTTTCAACAAATCCTTAAATTCATTTCAGTAAATTCTTTAGTTAATTCAAACTAATTTAACAGCAAAAAATCAAAGTTTTCAGGGAAAGATTGTTTTGGCACTTCATCATTTAAAAACATGACTGGGGTTCCTTTCTAGGATGATATTGTAGATTGTTAAGTATTGTGTATGTAGTCAATGTTCAGAGTTACACAACTGAACAGACAGATTATATTTTATTAAAGTTGTTTGTAATGCCATGTATATATTTAGATCTAGTCCTTTTGCTTTAAATGTTTGGTGTTATTTGTATATAATGTCTGTATTTATACGACTGTGACCAAAGATGGAGTTGTTGACTTGTTTACCACCATATCACACATACATATTATCATCTGTTTTACTTTGTCTATAGCCTGATTCTACTTTTATCAGTTCTCATCTTTTTAAATTGAATTTGATCATTTTCACATTTTTTGTTTCTTTTTCTCCACATTTTATATACATTCTTTGAAAGATATCATACTTATTATTATTCATATAACCTTTTTTCCCATTATACAATGTATCCATTATTTTCTGTAGATTTTGGTTAGGTAGTTGTACCATTGGTCAACAGTGATCTACCTGTCATTGAATGAAGATATATCTTTTCCATTTAAAGTGAATTCTGGTTGTAATTGTTTTATAAGAACTTTCCTGACATAATGTATTACATAATGAATAAATGAGGTTTCATTTATGTATGATGTACATGATAAGTACTGCAAATATATAACGAATCACCGTTTAGAGATACAGATAAAAAATACTTCCTATATATGGATCTGATCATACATAGGCCTGAAGTAACATTCTCCAGAGTCTGCCAGTCTTCATTTCATTATATAATACAGATTTACAATGCAAAATTGGTAGATAATGAGTAATAAGTAGGAGATCAGTGTGTTAGATAATGTCTTAAGAATGTGATCTGTGTGTTAGATAATGTCTTAAGAAATTGATCTGTGTGTTGTGATTTGTACAGATTTAACAGTAAAGGGAGAAAATCATGGTGGGCTTAATTTATTACTATATTGTAGTGCTATAGTACACATATAAAAGATCATTAAATTGAGAATATATAAACAGCTACTGAAATGAGATATTATAATGTCAAGAAATTGACATTTCAATTTTTTTTTCACTATTACCTACACAGGGGAAATCAAAATTATTAAAGGCGTCAGAAAGTTGGCATTGTCAGTTATTGAATGTTGAATATCAAAACAAGGTGGATGATTTTCTGGATTATGTGTACTTTAGATTATGAATATAATTGATGAGAAAATATATAATTTTGAACAGCTGGTTATTTTTATATGTATTTGAAATCATAGCATTGATGAAGATATTAAATAAACAAGAGTAGTTTTGTGTATGTTTAGTCCTACCATTACAGTATCGGCTTTGGATCTGAAGTGGATTTTTATAACTACCCATGTATTTTTTGTATTTGTTAACAACTTAGGGCATTGTACTGTGCAATTTTCTGTGTAAATATTTACATGGCTAAAGATCTATCTGTACAAAATGTAAAACACATGTCTCAAAGCATGCCATTAAGGGTAAATTGGTCACAGATCCAGGGTAGTACCAGATTTAGTGGTCCACATCAAGATGGTTTACCACAAGAAATTTTATATAATGTGTTATTTATGTTATTTGGTGATGGAAAAGATCAGATGTCTTCCTGGAAAGGATGGATACAGATTGATGCCAGAATATCTATAAGGCATCAGTACATTTGTATAAATATCATTAGAAATGTCTTAGAGAATTCAGGAGACAAGTGCCTTTTATTGTGTTAGGTGTTATAACTGTGCCAAAATTGTATATTATTGTCCCAAGTACAATAGATATTGATGATGTATTTATGTATTGAATGTCTGTCAGCCCTCTACTCATACAACAGTGTATGTACTGTATTAAGGTACTATCAAACCAATAAACTTGATAAGTCAGTGGTCTGGATGAGGAGAAATGTCAAAGCTATTAAAATTTGAATTGTTTCTAGGGTCGTATCCTAAGGGACTTGATTCCCAGTTCAGGGTAGGGACAGTATTTAATATTTCATGTTTCACTTCAGCGAGGCTTTCTGCTATAAGTGGTTTCAGAGCTGCCTTTAAGTCACTTTTCTCTTATCTCTTTTATTTAGCTGAATATTTATTTACTTAATACACAGAAATAATAACTTTGACAGTTTTGACCTTAACTGTTTTAGATGCATGCTTATATATGACTTTAAGAGTATTCACATTTCTGTTAGTGCTTATACCGAATTAAGTCATTCTCAAGGTGCTGCTAGTAGTCATTGAGTGTAAAATACAAAACCAAAAATTCATAGATATATAACTGACTTCACAAAGGATATCTTAAACAATTCAGAGATATATAACTGACTTCACAAAGGATATCTTAAACAATTCAGAGATATATAACTGACTACACAAAGGATATCTTAAACAATTCAGAGATATATAACTGACTACACAAAGGATATCTTAAACAATTCAGAGATATATAACTGACTTCACAAAGGATATCTTAAACAATTCAGAGATATATAACTGACTTCACAAAGGATATCTTAAACAATTCAGAGATATATAACTGACTACACAAAGGATGTCTTAGACAATGCAGAGATATATCACTGACTACACAAAGGATATCTCTAACAATTCAGAGATATATAACTGACTTCACAAAGGATATCTTAAACAATTCAGAGATATATAACTGACTTCAGAGATATATAACTGACTTCACAAAGGATATCGTAAACAATTCAGAGATATATAACTGACTACACAAAGGATATCTTAGACAATGCAGAGATATAACTGACTACACAAAGGATATCTTAAACAATTCAGAGATTAACTACTGACTACACAAAGGATGTCTTAAACAATTCAGAGATATATCACTGACTACACAAAGGATATCACAAACAATACAAAGACCTACATAGTGATTGAGTTTTGTTGTTTTTTAAGTGAATTTTTTGGTAAATACAAGATTTATTTATCTAAGATTTTTTAAAAGTCAGTCAGGATATCAGATGTTGGTAAAGCATGGTTATGTTGTATTGTAGTTCAAGGCTAGCACACTGAGTAAATCTCCAGAGCTGTGAAACAAAAGTCAACTCTGATAACACTGACTAACGGATTAGGTGTTACCACTTTATACATGTAATGTCCTTACCAGTATGTCATTTCATCAAGTTTTCACACTCAGCTGGTCGCAGTATTGATTTTTAATCAGTAATTGTGTTACGTATCCCAGAACAAAGATTTATGTACTTCTTTGTCAGACTGGATGGTTCTGATGATACAATTTAATCCTCTTTATCAACATGAAAGGTGTGTATACAGAAAATAAACAGTACAGACATCAGCAGTATAGTAGGATTTTAGAGTTTTTATTAAGTATATGAAGACTGATTATGCATCATGTTTTTTTTATCAGAAATTATCCGATGAATCAATTGTGCACTATAATACATGTAATACCAGGTACTTATGGAACTTACAGACATAAAAAAAATG